TCTTAAACGCTAAAAATTAAATCCCACCTTCTGCAATGCAATGGACTCTCTGAAAGATTTGAGATTAACACCCTTAATGCCCCAACTCAGTCCCTCTTCCCACTCCAATCATGTGCCGCTACTTCCTCCAAGCGCGGCGCTTTACTCACTCCTTGAAGCGTTCGCAACTTTGCTCCTTCCAATTTCTCGGCCCGGGAGGCTCGCCGGGCTCCGCCTACCCCGGGTCCCCATTGGTCCAGCGGGCCGAAGAACGCGAGAGGGGTGCAGTTGGGAGGGAAAAGCATGCGAAGAAGGACTTTCTTTAAAGTGGTCAGATTATAACACAGGGCGACTGACGATAGTTTGAGCGGGTGTGGCCAGCGCAAACTACTGTCAGTCGCCCCGTGCTCATCAAAACAAGTCCGGGGAGAGTAGGTGTTGGGCAGGAAGGCTTCTGGCGGCTCCTGGGCGGCGATCCCACCGCCATCTGCCTGCTCACTCGCTACGCTACCCCGCCCATGCGAGTGGCAGCAGATGGGCGGGGGAATGAGCGATCGAAGAAGGCGCCAAAATTAAAAAGCGGGATCTTTTGAGAACAGCCCGGGACGCGGGAAAAATTATGAAAAAGCGTGCCTGTCTCACCAAATGCAGGACGTCTGGTCACCTTACAGATGCCACACCTGCTCTATGGAATAGCATTCTTCCCAATATGGCCCCATCCCTATTTTTTCTCTGAAAGCTACACCTGGCTTTATAAGCCTCTCTCAATGGTTTTAGTTGCCTGAGCTGATTCTGGCTCGTTATTTGTTGTTTTTAGTTGCATATATCACCCTGAATCATGGGTCAATTATTGATGCATACATTGAATGAATAAATCAATACATTTTAAAAACAGGTACTAAATAAATATCTCAATATCTTTAACCTTTCAGGAATCACAATGGTGCCATATGAACTGTTACCCACACCTGCAGACCGGAAGACTCTCTTAAAGTGTAGGTGCTTTTAGTTGATTTGTTTCCCCTCTGGAATGTGGCTGACTGTGAGATCTTGGCAAGTAACCTGCTTACAATAGTATCTCTTCAGATGACCAGAATGCCTAAGGCAGATGAACATTGTACAAGGAGAGCCATGTTAGCCTATGGCAGGGGTCCCCAAACTTGGCAACTTTAAGACTTGTGGACTTCAACTCTCAGAATTCTGGAAGTTGCAGTCTGCAAGTCTTAAAGTTGCCAAGTTTGAAGACCTCTGGTCTATGGAAACCAAAATTCAGACTTATAAATTTTATTTTAAAAATGTAAGCTTTTGTAAACTATCTTACGCCTTTTAATAATTTTTGTTTGTCTGAAAAGGTGCTTCCAGACTTCTGAATGTAAGATTGAAGGAATCTTCTGAAAGGGTAAAAAATGGGTTTCTTCATAGAATCTAATTTCAGGGTTGTTGTGCAAAAGGTAAAGAACATAGAAAATTAGGGAAATCAATCAGTTTTAGTTTGATCATACTAGAAAATTAAAATAATATTATTAGGAAAGACACTCATGCTTAATACTGATTTGTTCTGCTTCTAAGACAAAGGAAGGGAAACGTCAGTGTGACTAATGTCCCACAGGTGCTTTAAAAAAAGGTAACTGGACTTTCCTGATTTTTCTTGAAAAAAACTCAGGTACTCCTGTACTTGTCAGATACCTGTATATACCTGTATCTGACAAGTGGGTACAGGTTGGTACAGGTACTCCTTTACTTACATCCACAATTAAGACCAAAAATTATGTTGCTAAATGAAAAAATTGTTGAGTTTTGCCTTACTTTATCACTTTTCTTGCCACATTTGTTAAGTGAGTCACTGCAGTTGTTAAAATAGTAACACAGTTGTTAAGTGAATCTGGTTTCCCCATTGACTTTGCTTGTCTAAAGGTCGCAAGTGGGGATCACATAACCCTGTGACACTGCAACTGTCATAAATGTGAATCCATTGTCAAGCATCTGAATATAAATCATGTGATTGAGGAAATGCTGCAGTGGTCATAAGTGTGAAATGGAAAGCCACTCATACTAACCAGGGGCTCCGTTACCAAAGCAACAACCCAACCTCCCACAACAGAAGCTCTCTAAGGACCTTATCTAAATGAGCCCAAACACAGGGCAGCAACTCAGAACAGCAGAAAAAGGAAATGGAGCATCTATATAACACATTCCAACAAAATGGACACCTACACAACTATCAAAAAGTCCCTGACCACTCAACCCAATCTAGCACAACCAACACAAACCCTAAAAAGAATTACACTGCCATACATCAAGAATATCTCAGAAACCACCAACAGACTACTACAACCACATGGAATGACCGTTGGCTTACCTGAATGATTGTTCTCTGGGCGCTGTGGGAGAGTCCAAGCATGGATTAAATTCAGTCTATTCGCCCAAGGACTGAGTTGAAATTCTTAGCCACGCCTCCTCTCCTCATTGAGGTTCAGTTCAAAAACGAAGGCATAGACTATGATGGACTGTGATCTTGAAGTGTCCTTTGGACGTCTCCATAGCCCACACACTCCGAGCAGCCTGAGACGCCTGATAAATGAGGAACGAAGCAAAACCCAGGGCGAAATTGGACTCTCCCGCAGCACCCAGAGAACGACCGTTCAAGTAAGCCAATGGTCATTCTCCTGTGTGCTGCTTGGAGAGTCCAAGCATGGGACATACACAAGCTATGAAGTCCCAGGGGAGACAACATGATCATCCAGGGTGCGCAGAGTCGCAATTACCCTTTGCAACACTCTCCTCCCAAAGGACGCCTCTGCTGCAGTGTAGGAGTCAATACGGTAATGCTTAATAAACAGAGTCGGAGACGACCAGGTAGCCGCTCGGCAGATTTCTTCCACAGGAGCTTGTGTCGCCCATGCGGCCGTGGTGGCCGCACTCCGTGTGGAATGAGCAGTGAGTGTAGGTGGTACCATCTTGCCCTGGTGCTGGTAGGCCAGTTTGAACAAGCCCTCAACCACCGACCAATGGAGGACGGTGAGATTTTGCGTCCCATGGAACCTGATTGAAAGGAGCTAAGAAGGGATTCGGAGTGACGGAATTCCTTCGTTCTCTTGATGTAGCAGTGAACCGTTCTCCGAATGTCGAGCTTGTGCAAAGTTCGGTCCTTGGGATGCTGAGGGTGAGGGCAGAAGTTGGGAAGTACCACTTCCTGCGATCTGTGGAACAGAGAGTGTTCTTTGGCATAAAAGCTGGATCTAGCCAGAGAGTGACCTGATCAGCATGAAAAACACATAAGTCCTCACAGTTGGAAAGAGCAGCTAACTCTGACATCCTCCTTGCTGATGTAATTGCTATGAGAAAGGCTGTCTTCAGAGTTAGGAGATGAAGACCGATGGAACTTATAGGTTCAAATAGTGTCTTGGTCACGGCCCTCAGAACAAGTGGAAGGTCCCAAGTGGGGAACCTGTGTACCTTAGGAGGGCACAGATTGGAGGCCCCCTTGAGAAAACTCCTGACCTGAGGGTGCTGCCCTGAAGAAACAGCTGAATGTCTGACAAGAATGATAGAAAGAACTGCTACTTGTTATCAGAGGATGTTGGGTGACAAGCCTTTGTCCAACTCCGCCTGCGAGAAGTCCAGCAGCTGCGGTATGGATGCCAAAGTGGGCACTATGTCTAGAGTCCTAACCAAGAGGCGAAAGCCACCCAAGTAGTGTCATAAATCTGAGTCATAGATGGATGTCGGGATGCGAATGACTTTGTCAGATAAATTGTCTTTCCTCAGGAGGTCTCCCTCAAGTGCCAGACAGCCAGCTGGAGCCAGCTGGGATCCGGATGCACTATGGCCCCCTGGCTGAGGGAGAGTAGCTCCTGAGGTATCTTTCATGGTCTGCGAATGGAGAGACTGACAAGGTCTGCGTACCACGATCTCCTGGACCAGTGAGGTGCTACCAGGAGAACCTCCGCTTCCTCCGACAAGATTTTCCGAACCAGCTGTGGGATGAGGAGCAGCGGTGGGAAAGCGTACAAAAGACCCCTGGGCCAGTGGCATCTCAGAGCGTCTGTCCCCTCTGCTTGCAAGGTGGCATATCTCGACAAAAACCTCGGGAGTTGTGAGTTGACTGGACTAGCGAACAGATTGACCACCGGCTGACCGAACCTGATGGTCAGTTGATGGAAGGTCTCCGGGTGAAGACACCACTCTGCATTGTCGATGATCGTCCAACCTAGCCAGTCCTCTGTCACATTGTCCACTCCCAAGATGTGATCTGCCCACAGGGATATCAGATGACGCTCTGCCCACCATCTAAGGCCTCCGCCTCCGTCATCAGGGTCTGACCCATCTGGGAGAGTTGCTGGCTTTTGCTCACTGGATGGGCAGGAGGAACCATTGCAGCTCTCTCACGTGAAGCCGTGCCCAGGGAACGATGTTTATGCACGAAATCATGAGTCCAAGAAGTTATGATAGGGACACAATGAAGGCGAACTGGTTTACTCTTGCCTCCTGTGCACGGCTGATGATGTTGCATCTGCGATCCGGTGACAGGAACACCTGACAACGGTCGGAGTCTATAAGTGCTCCTAGATGTAAGATGCAAAGTGCAGGAGTCAGCTAACGTTTTTCTCGGTTGACCGAGAACTCGTGTTTCTGCAAGGTGGAGATGGTGACCTGCACGTCTTTGATTGCTTGGTTGGTGGACGCTGATTGGATCAAGATGTCGTCCAGGTAACAGAGTAGACGTATTGGGCATGAGTGAAGATGGGCCTCTACCACCACCAATATATTCGTGAAAGTCCTTGGTGCTGATGAAAGTCCGAATGGCAGAACTCTGTATTGGTAGTGTTTGCCGTCGTAGTGGAACCTGAGGAACTTCCTTTGGGATTTGCGTATTGGAATGTGCAGGTAGGCCTCCTTCAGGTTGATAGAGGCAACCCAGGATGGTCTGTAAGGATTGCATCTTGAAACGCTTGTAGGCCAGATGCCGATTTAGGTTTTTGAGATCCAGAATGGCCCTCCACCCCCACCCCCTGGAGCTTTTGGGGAGGAGAAAAAGTATGGAGTAGAACCCCCCCCCCTTTTTTTTCCTGCTCTACGGGAACTGGTTCTATGGCATTTATCTGAAGGAGATGCAAGATGTCTGCCTGCATGCGTTGTCTTTTGGGGAGGGAAGGGGGAACTGGACAGTGGATGAAGTTACAGGGGGAAGGGAGAGGAATTCCAAGGATCGTGTTGAGGACCCAAGCGTCCGTAGTGATCAACTCCCATTGGGCGGCGTAAAGTTGAAGACGACCGCCTATGGGAGGATCCCGGTGGTGGTCACTTGGATCTACGGTAGGAGCGGTTGTTTGAACCGCCACGAAAGGGGTGCCTGAAAGTCTGTTGCTGACGACCCTTATCTTTGAACAATGACCTGTCCTGGCTGTTCTCCCATGCCATAGGTTAGGATGCCTA